TCTAGCCTGTACCCCAGTTCTATATGAATAAATAAATAAATCTTAAAAAAAAAAAAAGAAATAATCCTACTGGAACAGAACTATTCATTTTAATATAATTACTATAATATATTAAGTTTCTTCAAAAACTCTGTTCTCTCAACTAGGTAAAACCTGCCATTATAATTTCACTCAATTATCAAATCTGTCCTTCAAGAATACCATAAAAAGCACTCAATTTAAATCCAACTCACTAAGTTGTGATAAATATTAATTCCTGGACTGAATAGGCTGAAGAGGATTTACTAGGACTTGGGATTTGTACTTATAATACTGCTAATTTCTTTTTTGCTTTTCATAGTAAAAGGAAAAGCTATATAAAGGCTCAAGTGTGAAACAGTGAAGAGATCTAGTGAAGTGCCACCTGCTAAGCCTGAGCGTGGGCAACTCCTCTGTTTACACAGGGAGATCACTGCTCCACGCGTGGGTCTGCAGAACCCACCCCCTCCTGGGCTCCCAGGACAACAGACACCGGCTCCGGCCTTACCTATCTGTTAGTCCGTACGCCAGATCAAGCATGTCATTTTCCTCATCAGTCACCGCTTCCAACTTCTCGTAGATGTGCTTTTCAAAGATGAGGTGACACGTGGAGCAAGCCAGGGTTCCCTCACATGCACCTACAGAAACAAGAAGTAATGAACACAGGCCCCTACTTAAACACAGTTCAGACCCAGCTTGAATTAAAATGCATCACTTCTGGGCTTCAGTCAGCGCAAGCACACAGCAGTCATAAGCTGTGCAGTAAGAGCTGAGACCCTCCCATTGCAGGGTGAGGTCGTGCGTGCGTGCGCGTGTCTTCTCAGTGAGGCTCCAGGTCAGGTGTCATGGGGGAAACACAGGAATACACAGTGCAAACAACAAAGCACTTCCAAGTTAAACTGAGACACACACACACAACATAAACTGACACACACACACAACATAAATTGAGACAAACACACACGCAACATAAAAAAGTAAGAATTGTAAAACTCAGAGTAATGATCTACATAGTTATGGCAAGTTACCTACTTTTATCTAGACAGCTCAATCTACAAAGTCTTGTGGTGTGTGTGTGTGTGTGTGTGTGTGTGTGTGTGTGTGTGTGTAATTAGAAAGCAACCAAACCTGTGTATAAATAAAGTTAAATACTCCTCCCTCTCGATCTTTCCTTGTACCCAAGATAGAATCAAGAAAGCTATTTGAAGAATCATACTGGTTTTAAACAATGACAACAACAACAAACAGGGCCAGAAAAACAGTCTTAAGTTATTAACTGAACAGTCATGTTCCAGTGGCCTGTCACACACCAGGCACAAGGAAAGGGAACTGGAGGCAGCTGGCCCTCCCACAGCACGAGTGAGCCTGCCAGCCTTTCCCAGAGTACCCAGACTTTGCTCAAAGAATGACACCTGGTGGGGTTGACCCTGTACCTCTAAATCTTGAACAGTGCTGTAAACCAATGTTACTTCTATTAAAGGAAGAAATCACAGCAGGGATCACTAATTTTTTTTTTAGTAGAACTGCTTATTTCATACAAAAAGACTAAGCCAGCCAATGGCCACCTTTGGCTTTCATGAGCTAATCTGTCCCCTGGATTCCAGCCCTCGTCCTCCCACCCCTCCCCTGGCTATAGTGAGGTCTAGTTGACAACCAGCCCTGGAAGGCAGCTGAGTGTGCATGATGATGGCGCTAGGTGTGCATTGTGAAAGTTCCTCCTACCTAGTTAATTAACACCTCCATCACCCACATGTACACATGTACTGTTTCGTGTATGACAAGTTCTACCTCAGCAAATGTCAATTAAAGAGCACAGTGTTATTACAGCCCAACACATTACACATTGAGACCCTCCGACTACTCATCCCACAGCGAAAGTCGGTACCCTTGTTACTAACCTCTCTCTCCCCCCCCACTCCCACCCCCAGAACCACTTTCCTATTCTTTTTTTATTAATTTGATTAGTGGATCCCTCTAAACAATTTTTCACATATTTGAAATCATGCTCCTTTGTCCAGGTTGAGGACTCTCGGGTCCCCCACGTGTCTGACTTAAATAACTGAGCTCTAAATCCCTCCCCTCAGTCTGGTTGGGCTTTGCCTAAAATATGGCATCCAGAGGAAGAGCTGACGAAACAGCATCACACAAAGTCATGTTCTGGCTAAATTCTATGTTAAAAAGTTATTCCGGTTAGCTTTTAATAATAAATCTTGAAGCCACTATACAACTGGGAAGAACTGAGCACATGCAATCTGGTCTCAATCATCTCGGCATGGAGAGAAAAGCTCTGTGCCAATAAATCCCTAAGGAAAAACGCAGGACATTCCTGTCCGTACCACCTGGACAGATGCATGGAGAGTTACACCCATGTCCCAGCTCCCACATCCTTTAAACGCTCCCTTCCCTAGGAAACTTCAATTCTTCCACCTCTTAAAACTTTTTATTTTCATTCTCTAGTAATTTTCACTTCTCCTCTCAGGAATCTTGCCAACTGTTTCCACATCTTGCTTACATTGCCAAGCCCAGACCTGAAGAGAGGATTCCAGTAAGAATCTGACAAATGTTGAGTAGACATGAGGGTGAACTTCGCATTCTCACATGCTGAGTTCTTGTCACCTGGGCTAGCCTGTGTCTATGCCTGAGCTAAGCACACCAGCTTCGTGACCCTCCCTTACTCTGACGATCCCTTTCAAACTTCTGCCACAAGCTGTCAACAGATACCCTTTTCTTATTCTTTGCAATGGGAACAAATTCAAATATAATAAAAACTTTAAGGCTCAGACAGAAATCAACTCAGCCTATCAGAGATGGCTAACAGTGAACCAGAGGAATGTAACAGTCACACTGTGACACAAGTATTGTTACAGGAAAAAATTGCAGCAAAGATTTACAGACCCATATGCAGCACTTACTCCAAGAAACACTCAATCCTGCAAAACTCTGAAACCAGGAGCAGTGTGGGAAGCTGCCTTTTTGTTTTGAGAGTTAGCCTATATATTCTACAAAAAGGAATAATTTTAAGCAGCAAAGACATGTTCCTAAAAAACATATTTAGGAGGAAAAAAATTTTAAAGAGTCTAAACTGAGACAAGACCATGTAAGAAAAAAGTGACTCCTTTTTTTCTTTTTAATTTTTCATCTCATAAAAATCTGCTGATTCCATGGTAGCCACTCCCCACAATTTAATAGTTTCCTGGGCTTGGAGTAGTTCCCAATAATCAGCACCTGAGTTTTTGACCTACAGCTCTATGGGTTTTAATACAGCGCAACTTTGTATTAATACCACCGCAGTCCGGGATGCAGACGTTTCATCGCCCCCAAGATTCCTTTCTGCCATGCCCTGGTCTATGCCTCTTCCATCCCTAGCCCCTAGCTGCCACCACCTGCCGTCCAGCCTCTGGTCTGCTGCATTAACAGCATGTCCAATAAATAGAATCATACAGCAGGAGGGCGCTTTGCAGGCTGGCCCCTCTGATCTGCCTTGAAGACTCATCCAGGCGAGCACGACTACAGTGTGCTCACTGCTGAGAAACAGACCCTGGGAGTGATGTGCCACAACTAACTTCCAGTAGGTGCGCATGCTGCTGCACTGTCGCTTTCACGCCCATTTTCCAAAAATTAGAGCTGAAGTGCATATGTGTGTGTGTGTGTGTGTGTGTGTGTTTCTTTCCAAAGCCAGTTGGAAGAACATAACATCATCCTTTCTCTTACCCACTAAAAGGAAGTTACAAGTGGAGAAGCTGTGCATGGGTCAAAGCTCAGGCCCCCCAACTCTGAAGAGCTTTCCAGGTGCTGTTCTGGCATCGCCATGCTCTCTTCTGTGAAATGCCCACGTCTTTTGCCCATTTTCTAAAATAGAATTGTTTCTTATTGTTGAGTTTTGAGAGTTCTTTATATATTAGATATTGGTCCCTCAATAGACATGACTTGCAAGTACTTTATTCTCTAACAGTATCACTGGCAGAGTATAAGTTTTTAAGTTTGACAAAGTCCAATTTATAATCTTTTATTGAGGTTTTAGTGTCATGTCTAAGATCCTAAGTCCCAAAGGTTTTCTCCTCTTCCTCCTTTTTTTTTTAGTTTAGTAGTATTGAGGTTTACATTTAGATTTAAATCAATTTTGAGTTAATTTCTATATAAGGTGTAATGTTTCAGTTAAGGTTTCCCCTTTCTGTCCCCTGTTATGGATGCCCAAGTATTCCGAAGTATACCCTTTGTGGAAAAGGATATCCTTTCTTAATTATCTTTATACTTCAGCCATAAATAAGAAGTAGAAATAACTCAAATATCCATCAACAATGAATGAGCAAACAAAATATGGTATATCCACGAAATGCAGCATTAGCATTATTTGACCATAAAAAGGGATGAAATACTGATACACCATACAACACAGATGAACCTTGCAAATATAATGTAAAATGGAAACCAATCATAAAGACAGTATGATTCCCTTTCTATGTAGTATCCAGAATAGGAAAATCTGTATTTATAAAGAGCGGACAAGTGGTTTCTCAGGCCTGAGAAGATGGGGGCTTGATGAATGACCGAAACAACCTGTTGAGGCTGGCTCCTATCAAAAAGACCAGAAGCAACAAATGCTGGCAAAGATGTGGAGGAAAGGAACCTCTTTAGATTGTCGGCGGGAATGTAGACTGGCCCAGGCCCTATGGAAAACAGCATGAAGCTCTTCAAAAGATGAGATACGAATCTGCTGCATGACCCAGCAATCCCAGTCCTAGGAATCTACCCGAAGAACACAAAAACACCAATTCGGAGGGAAACCACACTCCCACCATCACAGAAGCACTATTTGTAATAGCTATGATTAAAAACCTAGATGCCCCCAAATGGAGGAGTGTTATTTGCACACAATGAAATAAATGCTACTCAACTATCAGAAATAACCCCACACATGAAGTAACATTTCACAGGGCGCCAAGAATACTCAATGGGTAAAGGGTAATTTCACTTTGGGGGAGCCATTATAAATGTTCTTTACATTTGTTTTATTGCCAACTGTTTGCTGCTAGTACACAGAAATCCAATTGACATTTGTTTCGACCTTGCATCGCAGGATGTCACCAAGCTCACTTGTTGGCTCTAGGATTACTTTTTGAAGCTCCCTTTTCTATGTAATCAACTGTTGTCTAAAACCAGAGACAGTTTTGATCCTTCCTGTTCAATCTGTGGGTTCTGCCCTCACACACAGGCTGACTCACAGCATGCTGTTAAGAAGGAGTGGGGAGCACACCCTTCCCTGGCCCCTGACCTTAGGGAGAAGGCATTCCATCTTTCATCATCAAGAGTGATGTCAACTGCCAGTTGTTTGCAGATGCCTTTGCACAATCCGTGCAGGTCTGGCACTGCCTACTTGTTTTCAATTAAGACATGGAAACTGCCACCAGCCCTTTGACACAGATTTCACATTCTTAATGAATATCCCTGCAAGTTCAACTCCACTAAAGCCAAACTGCTGAAGGCTGAAACAAAGTAGATGATATTCCTGATAAACCTCATCTTCCAGCTCTTTATTAGCATTGCAAAATTCCCAAGTTCACATCCACTATGAAATCATGTGCACTGAAAACCAACAGGACATACACTCTCACTACGAAACCGAGATACGAAGTGGAGA